GCTCCCTCTTGGCCAACAGGAGGCAGGAAATGATAAAGGCAGTGATTTGACCAAGCCAAGTTCTCAAGGCATGGCGACAATTATTAACTTCAGTGGTGTCTTTTAAGGGAAGGTAAAGACTGTAGTTCTTTTTAAGATACACGTGTGGACATCCAGCAGTCTTTCCAGATGTCTATTATACACATATTCCTCCCCGAAGTGATTATCAATTATGTGGCTTACAAATGCAATCTGTTCTCCCTGCTGGAAGAAATAAAGGATAAATATCCTCAAAACGACACCATCACAACACCTCTCTGCCCTTTGATTTAATAGAGAGGATGACAGGTTCCTAAAATGGAAGGGATAGCCAGGAAGCAAATCTTTAAAAAAAGTCTCTGAAGAGCAGCAAGTGTTGAAGGATCTACTGAGGGAAAGTAAGTGGTAAGACGGTGAAAAGAAAGAAAAGTATTCAAGACCCACATCACTCAAGAAACTCTGAGCTCTCATGACTGGGTTGCTTTGGTTATAAGCATAAATCAAACTTGGCTTATGTCTTCCAGATCTTTTTAGGTTCTATCTTTGGGCTAATTCCAGTGCAGCGCCAATATTGCTTCATCTGGCAAAATCGAGCATGAAGAGCTCTAATCTGTGGCCAGTGGAGGGAGAAGGAGACCATGTGACAGAATGATGACCCCCTGGGGCAGGAGAGAGAGGATGATTTCTACAAAAGGCAGGTGAACTGGAAAGTTGAAAGTCTGGCAGAAGAAATGACTGGCATCTCTAACTTGACATTCTATCTAACAATACTGTTGTGAAGATCAAGGGACATTTAGAACATTTTATAATCTGTAAAATACTATATAAATGTAAGGTAGGGTTTTCCGCATACAAGGCTCTCAAAGGTTTGCTAACCTTTGGAAAGGTTAACCCATCTAAGTGCTATTGACTCGGAATGACTCAAGACTGGGACACCTTTAGTGAATTAAGAACAGGGAGATAAATCCAGAAGGTAGATCACAGGGGGGTGGTATTTTTATAAAACAAACAAGCAAAAACAACATAAAGCAGTACTAGGCTCCAAAAATGTCATAGAATTATATGTAGTTTTTCCACGAAAGCATTACATTTCCCCCCAGTTTTGTCATAAATTGGCCCCTGACATCAAGGTTGTAGCAGATGGATTTATACTGTGTGGAACACAAAAACTAAACTCATTTTTTTAAATTCATGTCAATCTGTCATCTGAATGTATATTTGCATTATAATCTGATTTTCTATGTATTCAAAAACTCAATCTCTCCAAAATGTATTTGAGGAATATTTAAATAAATGATAAAACTTGAAGCAATGTTAATCAACATAATGCTCAACTGAATTTGTTCTTTTCTGTATTTGTGTAATTGGTAAATTATATTATTTTATCCTTCTCTGTTAGTATATAACCTTCTTGCTTTCAGATGCTTATATGCATCAGATGATTCTTGCCAATAGTGAAGAAAATATATATCCAGCAAGATATATATATATATAAAATAGATATATAAATGTATAAATATATAAATGTGTATAAATATATAGGTATATGAAAATAGAAAGATTTATATATCTTATGTAAATATATCTTTTATTTTTCATTTTTATATAACTATATATAAAGATAATACCTTCTTATTTATCAATATATATTAAGAAGATATATACATATATTTTTTTATTTACTCCCTTTGGAATTCTCCGCTGCCTTTATCTATCTTTGAGATACGTAATATTTTGCTGCACTTATTAAAAAATCTGTTCTTAATCAATGTGGGTTATTAGCCATTTGTACCTTAGTATGACTTTCAGTCAACATGGCTCCTCTCCCAAGAGCATTTGCGTATGAACTTTATTAGGGGAAGAAAAAAAGCTCTGTTTACTATGAAAATAACCATATGTAGATTTGCTTTTTTTCTTTTTCTTTTTCCTTTTTCTTGTAGAGGAAATAACGCTCCTTTCTGATGCTTGCTACCTTGACCCATACTGAGGTCATCAACTAGGGCTGAGGCTAGCCCTGCACATGGGTATGTTGTATGTACATTCAGAGGTAAAGCAGCATGAGGAGTGGAGATATAATCAGTTGTGTAACAGTCCTGAACAGTCAGGTAGATAGTATGTGATGGAGTAGGGGACAAGTTAGATGCAAATATACACAGTATACCACTGATAAGCAAAAAGGGTCTTTGGGAACCAAAGAGTAAGTAACTTAAGCCCCAGAATAACAAATGTTGATAAAAAGGGCGATAAGCAAGTGTAAATCTGTAACTATAGCTCAGATGATGTTTCCTCCTGGTGAACTACTACATCATGCTTTCATCCCAGTGCATGACAATGTATCCTATCAAGAGTCAAACAGAGATAAGCTGTTGGTCAGACAACTAGAAAACCATAAATTTTGCTTATACTCTTTTGCTTTCGAAATAACTTTCTTTTTGGAAATACATTGTATCTATAAATCTATCTACATAAATATGTAGGTATAGATATTTACATTCTATAAACTAGAGAAACCTATCATAAAGAAAGTGAAGATGTTCTTCAAATCCCACCCTCCAGGTTAAAAAAAAAAAGTTAATTTTTAGAAGCTTAATTTCAGATGCCTCACTCTACATATATGAGTAGATAAATAGGTAAATAGCTCTAAATAATTCAAAATGGCATCTTATACTATTTTAAAACAAACAAAAGAGACTCTAATATAACTACCTGAATGAGAACAAAAACAACAAAAGAAACTATCGATGTTTCTTCGTAAGAGACATAGCTTCCTAAAAAAAAAAAAGAACAACAACAAAGACAACATAAATATTCATTTAAAGTTACAGTGTCTAGTGGCCTCCCGTTCTGAAAGGTCAGGGAAAAAGGCATACATCTTTTAATTCCCATAATTGGGCATTTTTACATTCTTGCATCTATAAAATTTATACTCTGCTCTACATCTGTAGTTCCTAAATTGTTTACTTATGGCCTATATTTAAATGGATTCACTGCTCAGCACCAAGCATTTGACCATGGTTTCTTGATTCTTTTTATTTCACGCATCCCATCGTTGATTATACCGTATCATTTGTGTTCCCAAAGAGGTTATATGCTTGAGGCAACCTGACTTGCCCAGATTCTCTGGTATAAAATTCATCAGTCATATTTTCATATGAAACTTTCTAAAGAAATATTCTGTGACTCTATTTCCTACCATTAAAGTTGATTTCTCATTGTCAGGACTTCCTTTAGGGAATATTGTATCCTCTTGACATCTAGGAATGTATGTGTTATTTCTTTTCTTTTGTACATTTTGCTCCAGATTTACTAGTATTTGGCTGGCCTACATCATAATTATTATTTGGGTATGGCCAGTTCCTTCTTTCATGATTTTCTACTTATATTTTTTTGCTTGTTTGTTTTTAGTGGCTTATAGAAAAGGAATGAATTAAAATTCTCATTACTTTGACATCTTTAAGCAAAATTTTTGGTAAATTATAGTAACTCACCAACTCTGTCATGACCATAACCTGACAAATATCGTATTATAAAAAGCGCAGCAACATAGATACAGAGAATAGACTGGTGGTTCCCAGAGGGGGTTCCCAGTGAAGTAGGTGAAAAACGTCAAAAGGTACCAATTTTCGGTTATAAAAGGAGTCATATAGCTAACAATGCTGTACCACATATTCGAAAGTTGCTAAGAGTAGATCTTAAGAGTTCACATCAAAAGAAAAAAATTGTAACTATGCATGGTGAGAGATGTGAACTTAGACTTACTGTGGTGATCATTTTGCAATATATATAAAATCATACTGTGCACCTGAAACTAATACGTTACATGCCAATTATACCGCAATTAAAAAAAGCGGAAAATTAACTGCAAAAAAAGAGCAGCTAATTAATACTACTTTTAAATCAAAGCAGTATATATTTTAAAATTTGTATTCCTCCACTTTTGCCTGCATATCATCTTTCACCAAGTCTTTTTACTAATTAAGGTAACTTCATACACCTGTGAATGTCTGTATATATTATTCTACTCTTTTCTTACCTATTTTCTTCTCCCTTTTGGTCTTTCTGAATCTCTCTGATATCTCTTTTTCTCTTTTCACATGTCATTTTTTCTTCCTTCCCCTCTTTCTTCTTTTTAGCTCCCCTTTTGGGTTTTCCCCTGTTCTCTTTTTTCCACCTTTGCTTCTTTATATTTCTTTCCTCCCTCTCTCCTTCCCTCCCTCCCTTGCTTTCTTCCTTCTACTTATATTTTTTTTTTGAATTGGCTGTGATGTGAGTTTAGTATTTCTAGTTTTACTGAAGACAAATTATGGTCCTTGTGAATTGATTCATATTTATCCAAGAAAATATTTTTTCTTTTCCTTTTAAGTTGTCATTCATTGTTATTTATATCAGTGTTCCTTTGAAGCAAGAAGAGTTTTAAGTTTCTGTCCTTAATCATTTTCTTTTATTCTCTATGGATTGCTGCCTACTTTGAAATTACCATTTACTAATTAATATTATTACTTTAAAATCCAAAACTCAAATTTTAGTTGCAAATGTATAACTATTTTTTACAACGGCTTTAATTACAAAATTAGATTCTGGGCACTGGGGGCAGAAATTACCAAGGATCACTTTTTTAACCTATATTTTCAATCGATACTGTTCATATGTTACTTTTTAAAAATAAAAAATAGTGAATACAGAGTATTTTTTCATTCACTGTATACATATTTGAAATCAATTCATTATAACTTTTTTCTAAATGATTTTTCGATTAATAAGAACTTCCTTAACTCAGAATTTTTATATCGTTTAGAATTCATTATCATATACAACTCCAAAAATTCTTCCTCTTTAATTTACCATCTCTTACTTCCAGCCCAAATTTTCCTATATCACTCCTCGATAGTGCCTACAAAAGAGGTTTATAGTATCTATGAGCTGTCTGCTAATAACATGTTATTTAACACTTTTACTGACAAAGGAAATAAAATGTGCCTTACCCCCTCGCTTGTTGATCTTGGCATAGCCTGGAGAATAGCTCCCAGACATGGAGGACGAGCTGCTGAAAGCTACATGGGGGAGTCCAGACACAAGTGGTTCATCACATTTTTCTGAAAAGAAAAGAAAAAAGAGAAAGATTAAATATTTTAAAATAATAACTTGGTACAGTTTTTAGTTAAAATAATTGTTGACTACAGTACAGATGTCAAAATCTATGATACAACATTTAGCAAATGATCGGAATTTAGACAATTCAATAATTTAAACTCTTGCTTTTTAAGAGTTGTAGCTATGACAAAATGCTTTATGCTGAAGGGCCTCGATACAGACCTGCTGTCTAAGAGTTATGATGAAAGGTGGTGGCGTTTATTTAACAAGCTTTGCAAAAGCCGGCACCCTCTGGAAATCTTCAGGGATTTATGCATTATAGGGGTAGAGGATTAGAAACATTGATTAGAAACACAGAGGTTGGAGGAGGGAAGACTAGGAGGAATCCTACCAAAGCTAAAAAAGCCTGAGAAATAGGGGTCAGAAAGGGAGAACAAGAATAATCATCACCCTGAAAAGTACTGCCATCTGAAAAATTAACCAGTTCCCATCATACTTGACCAATCAACTGCGTTGGGACCAGGTGATCCCTCGATTCCATTCTTCACTTGGCTTCAATGGCCATGAAGTTTTTGTGTTTCCTCCTTCCTCACTACTGCTTACTCTGATTCCTTCGATGTATCTCTCTCATTTTCCTAATGTTTAAATGTTAAAGTGCCCAGGACTCAACTCTTGGATCTCTTCTAGGTCCACGCATTCTCTCTGGGAAACTTCATCAGGAGTTGTGTGTTCTCATTCTGGAATATCCCAAATCCTACCCCCTCGCATCACCCGGTCCAAGCGGCCACCAGCGATCACTGTTGTGAAAGACTGGATAGTCTTCTTCCTTCCTTGCTTTTCTATCATTCTGCACACAGCAGCCTGAGGGATGCTTACAGATGTAAGTGGGCAAGTGGCTCTAATACTCACAGTACCCACTGGCTCCTGCTCTCCATCACTCCGAATCAAGTCTGATGCCCTCCAATGGCCCGCGCTGGCCACCGGACTGGTCACATCTCTCTCCAGCATCCCTGTCCATTGCTGTCCACCACTAGGGCCCGCTTCCCCTTACTGCAACATCAGGCCAACTCCTGCACGGCCTTCACGATTACTCTTCCGGTTACCTCAAGGCTCTTCCCTCTGGTCTCTGCTCAAAGTCACCTTTCACTGCTGCAGACAGACTCCTCCAGTCTGGCCAGCTAAATGAGCATGATGCTACTATCACTCTTGGTCCCCACGTCTGGCTTTCTTTTCCTTCATAGCACTCAGAGCCCCTGGCATATATGTTTTTACTCATTTGTTTGGCTTCCTTTCTCTCCCACTAGAATGGCTGCTCTGTGGGAATCAAGTTTTTGATAGTCTGCTTAATGCTTACTCTCCAGTGATGGGAACTGCACCTGGCACTTAGCACATACTTTAAAAACATTCATAGAATAAATGAGTGAATTAATGAATGAACGAGAAAAAGAACCAATATAATCTGACAATGGCAGAGTCCCAAAACACACTGCCAAATTACAAGATGGCACACCACCTAACTGGAGAGGTGGTCTTCAATCCTCCACAAATGTTTACACATGCTCAGTACTGTTTAATAAGACAGAGTTACACTACATATTCTAGAATCCTTTCTACCTCAGATATTTATAAATGGAAGAAAAGTTAAGCAACATAAAGAACGAACTCGGTTTCTTGAAAAGTCACTCAAGTGGAGTGAGGTCCCCAGTGATACTGGGGAAATGAATTATGATTCATTATCTCACCACTCAAGTGTGTACAGATCTGAAGTTAAAAATGAACATATCCATCCTCATAAAATATAGTTAGATTTCTTATTTTTCTTAACTATACTGCAAGTACCTCTGGGAAATATGGCATCTGTGTATGAATATATTCCCCAGAAAGCTCAACGTAAAAGGATGAAAAGATGAACATAAAATTTGTTTTTACGGTATCAATTCACGAAGTGAGAATCTACAGTGAAGAATTTTGTCTTAATTGTTAAAAATCTTTGCTATTCAACCCTGATGTTTATAGCAGCAATGTCCACAATAGCCAAACTGTGGAAAGAGCCAAGATGTCCATCGACAGATGAATGGATAAAGAAGATGTGGTATATATAT